AAGACACAGACAGATTAAAAGCAGAAGGATGGAGGAAAGAGGAAAGATATAACATGCTGACAATAATCAAAATAAAGGTGGAGTAGCTATATTAATTTCAGACAAAGCAGACTCCAGAGCAAGGAAAATTATCAAGGATAAAGAGAAACATTACATAATAACAGAGGGGTCAATTTTCCAAGAATATATAATAATCCTTACGGCATACGCACCTAACAACAAAGCATCAAAATACGTAAAACAAAAACTGATAGAATTGCGGGGAGACGTAGATAAATTCACTAATACACTTCTAGATTTCAACATACCTCTATTAGTAATTGACAGAGTCAGTAAGAACAAAGTTAAACTGAACAGCACCATTAATCAACTGGATATAATTGACATCTATGGAATATTTTATCAAGCAATAGCAGAATATAGATTATATAAGCTCTTATAGAACATTCACCAAGATAACACATTCTGGGCCATGTAACATACTTATGTTTTATGGGCCTTAAAGTTAAATTCATAGAACTTATACAAAGCATGCTCTCTCAGATCTATAAAAAACACATGGGTCAAAAGAAATCTACAGAGAAAATTAAAAATATTTTGAAATAAAAAATGAAAATACAATTCATCAAAACTTGTGAGATGCAGTAAAAGCAGTTGCTCAGAAGGAAATTTATAGCATTAAATGCATATTTATAAAAGAAAGATCTAAACTAATCATCTAAGCTTCTACCATAGAAAACTAGAAAAATAAGAGCAAATTAAATCAAAGTAAGCACAAGAAAAATTAGAAATCAATGAAATTGAAAACAGGAAATCAGGGATAAAAACAAATCCAAAAGCTAGTTTTCTGAAAAGAGCAGTAAAATTGATAAGCATCTTATCAAGTTAACTAAGAAAAAGACAGAAGACACATTAGTAATTAGATGAATATAAAAAATGAACAAGGGGCCATCACTACCTATATCCCAGGGACATTAAAGGATATTATGAACAACTCTACGTCCACAAATTTGTTAACTAGATAAATGGATCAATTCCTTGAAAGACACAATGTGCCAAAACTCACTTTAGAACAAATAAACAATCTGAATAGGCCTATATTTATTAGGGAAATTGACTGAATTAATAACCTTCCAAAATACAAAACATCAGGCTGAAATTGGTTTACCGGTAGATTCTATCAAACATTTAGAAAAAAAAATTATACCATTCTCTATAATCCTTTCCATAAGATAGAAGCAGAAGGAATATTAAGAGGCCAGCATTCTAATAATACCAAAACTGGAAAAAGACATTACAACAACTAGAGAATGATATCTCTCATGGACATAGAGGCAAAATCCTCAATAAATATTAGCAAATTAAAGCCAACAATGTACAAGGAGGATTATATATCATGATAACCCACACTTATTCCAGGTATGTAAGACTGTTTCAACATTCAAAAATCAATTAATGTAAGCCAATGTAGTGTAATCTAATGTAATGTGATCACGTCAATAGGCTAAAGAAGAAAAAGAACATTTATTGCAGTGTTATTTATGAGGGCAACATCCTAGATACAACCTAATGTTTGTTAATAACGGAAATGTTTGAATAAATTATGGTAAAGCCATACACAAAAGTATAATAATCTATAAAAAATGTTTTTGTGCTCACTTAGGAAAATGCCCATGGTTACAAAAAAAAAAAATCAAATTACAAGGTAATGTATAAAATATGATATCATTTTTCCACACGCCTAGAGTGAACTCATTTGTTACAAAGGTGCCAAAAACATACATTGGGGAAAGAACAGTTTCTTCAAAAAATGGTGCTAGGAAAACTGGATACTCATATGAAGAATGAAACTGGACCCCTATCTCTTGCCATATAAAACATGAAATCAAAATAGACTAAAAATTTAAATCTAAGACCTAAAACTATGAAACTTCTAAAAGAAAACATTGGGGAAATTCTTCAGGACATTGATCTGGGCAAAGATTTCTTGAGTAAGACCTCAAAAGCACAGGAAACCAAAGCAAAAATGGACAAATGAGATCACATCAAGCTGCTGCACAGCGAAGGAACAATCAACAAAGGCGAGAGACAACCCACAAAATGGGAGAAAATATTTGGAAACTACCCATCTGACAAGGAATTAATAACTACAATATATAAACAACTCAACAGGAAAACAAATCAAATAATCCAATTAAAAATGGACAAAAGATTTGACTAGACATTTCTCAAAAGAAGACATATAAATGGCCAATAGATATATGGAAAAAATGCTCAATATCATTAGTTTTCAGAGAAATGCAAATCAAAACTACAATGAGGTATCATTGCACCCCAGTTAAAATGACTTTTATCAAAAAGACAAAAAAAATAACAAATGCTACCAAGGATGTGGAGAAAGGAAGCACTTGTACACTGTTGGTGGGAATGTAAATTAGTGAAACTACTGTGGAGAACAGTTTGGAGGTTCCTCAAAAAACTAAAAATGGAACTACCATATGACCCAGCAATCCCACTGCTACGCACATATCCAAAAGAAGGGAAATCGGTACATCGAAAAGATATCTGCACTCTCATGTTTACTGCAACACTATTCCACAATAGCTAAGATTGGAAATCAACCTAAGTGTTCATCAGTGGATGAATGGATAAAGAAAATGTGGTACATATACATGATGAAATATTATTCAGCCATAAAAAGGAATGAAATCCTTTCATTTGCAACAACATGGATGGAATTAGAGACCATTACGTTAAGTGAAATAAGCCAAACACAGAAAGATATATTTCACATGTTCTCACATACATGGGAGCTAAAATTTAAAACAATTGCTCTCATGGAAACAGAGAGTAGAATGATGGACCAGAGGCTGAGAATAGTAGTGGAAAGGACGGATCGAGTGAGGATGGTTAATGGGTACAAAAATATAGTTAGACAGAATGAACAAGATCTAATATTTGATAGCACAACAAGGTGACTATAGTCAACAATAAGTTATTGTATACTTTAAAATAACTAAAAGAATGGAAGTGGAATGTTCCTAATACAAAGAAATGATTAAGTATTTGAGACGAAGGACAACCCCAATTGTCCTGATTTGATTATTACACATTGTATGCCTGTATCAAAACATCATGCATATCCCATAAATATACACAACTATTATATACCCATATTAAAAAATAAAAAAGTTAATAAAATAAAAAAAATCACCCCCTAGTTGCAGGCTTGAGGAATTATTTCCATTTGATTAATCAATATGTAAAAATAAATACAACAGAATTTTTGTAAAAAGGAGATGAAAATAGGTATGTTTGTTTGTACATATGTTTGGAGGTTTGTCTCTGTGGCATTATAACCACAGAGAAAGCCTAGAAGCCTAAACTTCAAAACATTATCATTGGTTAAGTGAAAAAATAGAATTGGATAAGGAAGAAGAAGGGAAAATAGTTAGCTTCCCCTTTGTGCACCTTTCTTTGGTTTTACTTGAATCCATTGTGTGTGGCTTTAAAAGTCTGAGAGAGAAAATACAAGGGAGCAGATAATGGGGGTGGGGGGAAGATTCTACCTACAGTGAACCCTCCTATTCTTATTTTGAAATTACAGACATCAAGGGCTACTCTGCCAGCATAATCCATAATCCTGGTTACCTCTTAAATTTTTTGAAGATCATTTAATCTGTTATTAGTGGCTAGTCGGGAAACCTAACTACCTGGAATTGTTATTCCAGATCTCAAATGTGGACACATACCTTTCTTCTTCTGCAGAGTTCATATTTTCTCCATAAAGAAGGAAAATCAGTCCTTCTTCTACAGATGCAATTCTCACCAAGATATCAGCTATATGAATTAAAGCTGTCTCAGAGCAATTTGGAGCAGCCTGTCCATTAAAAAAATAGCAAGACAAATCATATAATTTTATGACATGCTAACATATCACAGAATAAATTCAAGGGTGGGATGTTGCCTAGTAAAGTTATATTACCACCACCACAACAAAAAAACTTAATGATTTGTTTGGCTGTGAAGTAGTATGTCTGAATTAAATGTGTCATTAGATTATATTCTTTTACTGGCACAGTTCATGAGGCAAATAAATATACATTTTTCATCCAAACTAGTTATTGAGAATTGCTGCTCCTATTCCAGTTTTATATATAACTCTGGTTGACAATGAAATCATTCTTCTGTTTCCATTTTGCCCTTTATTTCCCATCCACTGGGTTCTTGTGAATCCAATATATCTATATATAGCATCTAATACACCACCATCCTTTCTAAGGGATACCATCTCCTTGTACATCTGATTTGGTCATGAATATAAACCTAGGAACAATCAATTCACAGGCTGGCTAACAGCCAATAATGTCACTCAATGAGAAAACAAAGACTAGATCAACT